TGATGATGATGATGATGATGATGATGATGATGATGATGATGATGATGATGATGATGATGATGATAATGATGATGATGATGATGATGATAGAGGTGGTGAGTCTCTGTCAGGCCCAAACATGACTGTCAGGGATACAGAATCCCAGCAAAAAATGGAGAATTATCCCCAAACGGGAATCGAACGTAGGTCTTCATGAATGACGGTGAAGCGCCTGACCACTTGAGTATTCGTCGAATTGTCACAGAGAGAGATAGAGAGGGGGAGGGAAAGGGAGAGAGAGAGAGAGAGAGAGAGAGAGAGAGAGAGAGAGAGAGGAGGGGGGGAATACTCTGAGAAAAATGTCTACAGTACAAGGCTGCCCTAAAATTTCAAAGTTCTAACAGCTCAGTACATAGTTTTGATACAAATTTGAAGTTAACAATTTTGAATTTCACAAAGTGCCAGGCTTTTTCAGGTGCAGTTCTTTTAATATCTTGATAACGAATCCGAATAATCTTACGATTTTGATAGAGCAGATAGAACATTTCAATCTGACCTCATGGTCTTAGTAACTCAAAACAGCAAAAAATGTCAGATAAAACCTTGTAATTCTAAGCTAGCGACTAGCTAAATATACTCCAATTAGATCAATAGCGTATTGACTGCAGACCTTGATGCACTTGTACTTTATAGGAGAACAGAAAAAACAAATATCCTTCAGATCATCCTAAAAAGGAGAAGTAACTGCAGGATTTCGCTTGCAGTATCTCTATGACGCCATGTTCCTACGTTCTCACAGCCTGCCAACAACTTGGACTTCTCAACGGGTAAAAACTACAAAACCGATGACGTCAGAGCAACCTACACCGGAAACGACCGGAATTCGCCGAGAATCTCTCGCCAGCTTGCAAATCCGGTATCGAGACGTTTTGACCTCGACAGTTCGCAATTGTGTCTCGCACTCTCAAGGCCAAAGGGTCGCAAGTGATTCCCCACGCTTAAACGCCTTGAGTCTGTGCTGAGCACACTGTCCCATGTCTGAAAGTCAATAGTTATCCCAATCAAACACGCCCGGAAGCCAACACAAATCCGCCATCTCGAGAATTCTGCTCCTCCGCCGATAGAGAAGTCGGGAAGCGATAATTTGCCGGTTTTGTTTGCGCGCCAAGCGATCTCAAAACGCCCTCAGTCACCCCAAGCTACGGCAGCTGGACTCCGCGACCACAAACGAGAGGAGAATATTCGAGATTTGAAATTGTGTACGCTGTGCGATTCGGAATGGTAATCTCTCTGTAACTAACAGAGCACAGGAGGGGGGGGGGTGGGAGCAGGGATGGGGTCTATTGGTGGTATGGCTATTGTTTTTGCCCTGTGTCGTTTGGGGGGGAAAAAGATGTGGAAGATTTTGTTTGTAGTTAGTACTGTAATGTTGGTGTTGGTACCAACACTGTAGGATTATCTCAAGTTTGGAGAGGGGGGGGGGGGGATGTCCATACTTGATGGCTCACCTTTCACAATGCTTTCTCCCTATTGCCGATTGTCTCTCTGTATCAGAATCCCAAATTCCTCCCTATTGCTGACTGTCTCTCTGTATCAGAATCCCAGATTTCATTATCTCCAGTAGTGATTCTGTCCAGAAATCTGTTTTGCTGTCTCTGAAATCTAGGTAGCAAATCCACAAGAAAATTGTTTTTTTTTAATCTGACTCTTGCATCTTTTTGGTCCAGTGTTAGCATATTATGGGGCTTCCATTTGGAACACGCCTGTTTATTCAGTTTGTCAGTCAGAATACCAATATCAGTTGAAGCTGTTAATGAAGCTTTATTAGGCACACTAACATCTTCAGAAGTTTTTCCCCTGTCGTCCTCCAGTATTTCCACAACTTCAGGGGTGTTAGAATCAGCACAAGCTATCAGAGGTCGGCAAGACCACATCTCATCATCCATCAGTCCCCTCCCAACGGCTCTAATCCATTTTCTTGCTGTCTTAACAGTTGAAGCATGTTCCTCCCATGGTTGTCAGCTCTCTGTGTATTTATTTTAACTCTGTAATACCCAGAACAATTGAACGTGTTATGATGAGTCGAACACCATATTATTATCTTTAAAAAGAAAGATTATTTCCTTTTTTGAGTCTCTGCTTTGCTAGCTGATCATGCTCCAAGTGAAGCAATTTCAATTGCCATTTAGAATTTGGGTGCAAAAATTTACAGAAAATAGGATAAAGGGTATATTTGTATGTATGCTCAGTTTCACAGCTATAAATACAGCGACACACGTTTTATGGTCAAGGGGAAATTCTATGAAAAAGGCGTTGTACAACTGCTGCCCAGGCGCTCTTGACTGCAGCAACCTTCCCGAGTAGAGGATATACCCAGTGGTTGGTTGACAGATGCTCTGGTGTGGTCTGCTTTCTCTTTCTTGTCAAACGTCTATCGTCCTTATCTCTCATCCTTCTTTTCGTGTTTGTTATTCGCTTGTATCATCTCTAATATTCGGTTCTTGTATGACCTAGTTGTGTGCAAGTGCCGCAAAATGCTTATTACCCCCCTCCCCCGCCAACCTCCCCCCCCCCAAAAAAGGACGGCTCAGATCCAACCCCTCCTTTTACCCAATATATCTTACACAACCAAGAGAATTGGCGTCTGAGGTGTAGAGGTTAGGCACTTCGTCGTCATTCGCAGAAGCCCTGAATTCAAATCCCTTGTGGGCAGAAATACATTTCGTATCGAGGTCGTCCAAGACAGCCATCCTTTATCGAGGAGAAAGTGATTGTCTTAGACCGATGGACGTCTTTATACAAG